CTACTACCCCTTATACAACATAATTTTAAATTATAAACTCTTTAAAACATCGTTCTGTTTTCTTTAACATCGTAACTCTGTTCAACTGTGTATTGTGGGGCTTTTTTTCCTGTTGTTCTTCAGCACATCTCCTTCACTGACTAGGTTCACATTAGCCATCACTTACTCAATTTATATTTTTATTCTCTGGAATGAATTCTAGAGAAGTCAACACTTATACCTAGGCAGGCGGCGAGACTTTCTGTTTCCACTAAAACCCATTGGGAGTGCAAAACACTCATAACAACACAATCCAGTCTTCATTCTGGTACCGTCCATGTTTGGAATGAACCGTTCATCTCATTCACAATGTTCTTTCCCCAAAAGAAACGCACACTGTGCGGGAGCATGAGAAAAGTGTGTTGTACCACAACTCCAAGGGGCCTAGTCCATCAACTTAATAGCCCGTTCCATAGAAAATCCAGTTCGCTCAGCTTGCAGACCTCAATTCTTCCACTGCCAACACAGGTGGCTTTATTTCAAAACCCAGATTTTCACACTGACAGGTTTAAATTGGATGAAGATACTTTCAGAAAGAGGTCTAAGAACAGCTGAAAGGAAAAGGAAACGCAGATGGAAAGCACAGGCAACAGACTAGATTTGTGCTTATCTCCGATTATACAGTACCTGAAGAGCCCTAGTCTCTGCTCTGGAAATGCAGAGCCAGCCACCCGCACACTGGACACCGAGGTGATGGAGGTTTAAGCCTTACAAAGAGATACGGAGGCTAAGTATAGAAAGTTTGTATACGAGGCATTCCCTAGTACCAAAACAAACACTGAAGTTATATTTAATAATCCAAACCACTTTTATCTTACTAGTCATCTTAAAGCTAGAAGCATTGGATCAGTTTTATACACAGCATGTACTATTTTTAGAAGCACGTGCAGAGGACTTTCAACTCTAAAGTTACGTTAAAAAGAAAATGAAAAAAACTTACGTTAAAGCTAAATTCCGGTTCATCTAAACAAAAAAAATTTACATGACACACAGCTTCTTAATCAATGCAGAACCAACTACATCAAAACTAAACAGACTTCAGATTGTAACCTCCAGAAGGTCTGCTCTACATTCATGTTTTAGAAAAACCAACATACTTCCTAGTTCTGGCAAAGGAAATCCAAAATACATCCTGTGTCAACTGTGCTAAGCTTTTAAAACAAGAAAGTGTGTAGACATGCAATTGTGGTTTCAAAAGCTCAATTTTTTCAAGGATAGCATACTTCTTATCTAAAAAACATTTTTTTTAAAAAGAGAACAAGAATACAAGCTGGACTATAGTCAGACATTTACAAAAAGGGTGAGCTGCTTTGCTTTCTTACACATACATTAGCAGAAAAAAAAAAGTTTGAAAGGCTCCTTGTCATGCTGGCTAAGTTGAAAATTAAAATATAATGTTTCTCCATCTCATTTTCACTTCTATTTTGCTAGAAAAAAAATCCATGGCATGTTCATGTTGCTCTGCAATAATGAAGAGGAATAAAGTAGAGGAACAGAATTAAAACCAACATATCCCTTTTCACTTTGCAAATGAGGACAATTACTACACATGAATCTGTAAACATTTCTATGCTGAATCAAGTCCAAAAGTTCATCTACCTGCTATCCCATTATCAGCTATGGTCAATTAGATATCTAGGGAAGAGTACAAGAACTAAAACCACAGTGCAGTTTCTTTGGATGCTCTCATAGTCTTCAGCCATTTGTGGCTTACACTTCCTCGGCCAAAGTAATTTATATACATCAAAACCCTCAGTGTTTCTCCCTCTTCTTGTTGTGGTTCTTGTTTAGGATGAAATTGTCAAGTCTCCGTGTATAAATTTTCAGCACCCACAACATCTTAGTGAGAGGAACTCCCCAGGTTAACTACATGTACGAAGAATCACTTTTGTAAGTTCACTTGGAACATGTAACCTACTGATTTCATTTAATATTCTCTCATTTGCATACTTGCTTGAAGTTGTGTTGATTTCTCCACAGAACCTTCTCTGTAAAAATTTTACAGATCTCTACCATGCATCTTCTCAGACCTCTCTTTTGCAGGCAGAGAAGTCCTAGACTGTTTTGTCCTCACACCTCATAAATGCAGTCTTCCCAGTACCTTCAAAAGCCTTTTCTGGCTCTACCACATCCTTTTCAACATGGGTGGAGGACAGTGGGAGAACAGAGCCAGTCCTGCACTTAGAATTGAAGATGTGAGAACATTACAAAACACCAGTATATAAAAAAAAAGTGCCTGTAAAGTTTGTAAATTTGTATATAACACTGCAGCTGACAAAAACACAAATGAGGAAACGTTTCTATAGCTGACAATCCTAAAGACATAACTATGTTCCTCCACAACTCCCCCAAGAGATTCTATTCCAAACAGTTTCAAATCCTTGCAATACTGACACGCAAATACAATCACTTTGATGCAATTATATCTATCACCATTACAGCATTTTTTACATCTAAATTAAGCTCATTCAAGAAATTCAGTTCTGAAAAGACAGACAGATGGGAAGGGTAATCTTAAACAGAAATTCTTCGACTTCTTTCCAAGCCAAAGTTTACACCCTCAGTTTAGCAAGCAAAGATTAAAGGTAGAGCAATTCCAGCTGGTACGCGTCCTGAAACATGTACTGTGATGCATTTTGCTTTCTGTTAATCAGTCAATAACGTGAACCTTCTTCAAATCTCTGACCTCCTGATACCAGCAGCGAGTTGTGTCCCTACACTGTACACCTACTGCACTATAAACTTGCAAGGAATGTTACACAGTCATTAAGGGAAGATCGACTGCACAAGGAAGCTAGTGCCTACAGCACCTAGGCTGAAGTACTCACTGGACAGGGATTTCCCCGTCAGTAAACAGCACATTAATACCCCAAAGTCAACCCCATTTCTGCTGTTTTCAGTGCATGTCATTTCTTAAAATTAGGCTGTACCACAGTCAAGCAGTAATGTGATGGCCCAGCAAACCTTCACCTAGAAAGCAGCCAGTAAGATAACTCCAGTCTGAGAAGGTAGCTTAAAATAGACAGAGACAGAGCGTTGCTCAGATATTAGCTGACCCCTAATTTCGTATCCAATGCCGAGATTCCTACACACACACACTCCGCATGAAACATTTCTAAAAAAGGCTTCTGTGGTGATTACCAGCAATGTATTTACTTTCAGCTGAAGCACTTTATCCCACGTTTGACTACTGTGTGTAGCAGAAAAGAGAGACTACTGAATGAAATGGCAAGAAGCTTTTTTTATTATTTCTACTAATATCCAAAGAAAGAAGGTCATGCATCCCTGAAATACAGAGAAGTGAATTACACAGCTTTATACAACTCCCTGCAGATTTCAAGGGCTTGCACTATAAAATTAAGTTTGGTATTTCCTGCCACAGAATACACACACTTCTAATATAATGATCCTGAAGTCCAATGGGTTTATCACAGACAGTTGAGAATGCTTCATTAAGATACTGTGCTCACATGAATGTACAGTCTAAAGTATCTGGTAGAGAGATACCGCAATACTATGTATGCTAAGCCACTGAACGGAAATGATTGAAGTTGTTTGTATTTCTCCAATCAGACATGTCAATTTGATCTGATGATTAAGTGCTGTGGCTTCAGACATGTGATATTCATCTAGAGAGCTACAGTGTTGACAACAAAAGCAGTATATTGTTCATAGGGTTACAAAGCAAAAAACAGACCACATTTGAAATTTATCCCTAAGTTTCATCCAACAATTCAAAAAAAAAATCCTACCTTTATCTTTATAATTTGAGAAGAAAGGATTGTTTTATAAAATAAGTATCAAAAGACTTGCATTCCATCTACTAACAGTGCTAACATACAAAAACCATAGCTGTGAGCTATAAGACACCCTCCTCTGCAAAGCTACCTGTCTGCACACACCATTTGGTATTTGCTGATTCACACAGACAACCGAGTCATTCTTGAAACCCTCTGGAAGCTACACATCTTTTCAACTTCCCAGTTTTTCCAGATGCAGATCTGGAAACAATGAAGTTGGATGTGTCTGGCTTTGAATGCCTCACTACTGGATGTTCCAAAGAGAGGAGAGTCTTCTGAAGGCAGAATTCTTCACAAGTCAGACATTACTTATTAAGCACATTAGCTCTGCTGTGCACTTGATCAATTTATCTCATTTAATACCCACTTCTCCACACAACCTGTGCTGTACCTAGGTTACTCATTTTCATTCCTCCTGCTCTCAGAAAAAACAAGTCTCTGTCCACTCCAATCTGTGAAAATCCAAACCAGCTAAACATCCCTTGATTCCACATAGAATCCACATCATTTTCCCATCTCTTCTACAGGACAGGATCAGAGTTGCACCAAAGATTTTGCAGTATTCTTTCTCCACAGCTCTACTCATCAACTCTTCCATGTCAAACCCCTTCTCTTACCAAAAAGCCTCTAAGGTGACTTGTGCTTCCTCTGATTGGGTACTGAAAACAGAAGGTAAGCCTGACAACTGGATCCACCCCAAAGGAACACCACAAGTATACATCAAATCCCTCTTTGAGAGCCCTACAGATGGAATCTTGTAGTTTCCTGCTGCCAAGGTACAGTCTGAGGAGCCCAGTGCACTCCCACTCACAGGAGGCTGGCATGAGTGGATGTGGGAAAATGGCTCTCCATAGCCAGAGCACACCAGCCTGCTACACAGGAAATTACCATAAAGGCTATTTGTGTCAATTCTTTTAGGTTGTTCTGAGACCAAGACACAACAATGGGTAAGGGTGGGGGATGTACCTAAATTAAAGGTGGCTGAAGTGCTTATGGAATCAAAGGATAACCAACAAATGCTTAAAAAGAAGTGTTTAAAGAAAAATAAATGGGAGAGTTCCCTTTCAAGACATGAAATCAGTGCCAGTCCCACACCAATGCCACCATCTCACCTCTCCCACGGCCACGTTTCCCACGGTCTGAAGGCCTGTCTCCTTGATTGTTGTCCACTCCATTCTCTTCAGCTCTAACTGTGGAGAGAGGGCAGCTTAAGAGAAGCTTCAGAGACTCATGCATGAGACAATACAGCTGTCTGCTTAACCTGAACCCCAAAAGAAAAGGCAAGATTTTAAAGTGGGCTGGTCAAAAGATGTAAGTCACCGCTTTTCTTCGGGGGCCTAGCTGCAAGCAAGTTAAGTTCACTTTGCACTGGACAATCAGGAGGCAAAATGTCTAATAAGAGGGAAAGGTCCCTCAGCAGACACACTTTTGGTTTTTGAAAAGAAAGTGCAGTGTTTCGCAGCCTACACTATTAAATTAATTACGGCCTCGCCTCTTTAGCAAGGTAGGAAATACAGCTGCCTCATACTATGCTTCCTTGACAAGGCACTGGGTGGCAACAGTGAAAGGATAAAGGCTAACCAAGAACACCAGCTCTTCTCCTGTCTGCCCACACCACATCCCTGCACAGAGAAACTTAAAAGAACTCTCCTTTGTATTTAAATCAGAGGGATGGTGACTGGGTGAAGGTGAAGCATTGGAAAAGCACTGCAACTTAACTATTTTGTGGAAAACTCCTGAGGATGTACTCTGAAAGATGGCTGGCTTCTTCAAGACAAAAAAAAAAACAAAACAAACAAAAAAAAGACTGGCCACTGGCCACTTAAAACACTGCTGAGATTTTGTACTGCACAACTTCTCCTAATGGCAGCAATAAAATCATTAATGCTTGGACATAAAGCTAGGAAGAGAATATCATGATTTGGTAACCATCTGAAAAATCTTTAATTCCAGTTTACAAGAAGAGACAAGCAGCATCTGGCTCTGGCAAAAATTTTGGTACCTCCCTTTGATTTTGATGGATCTGATTTCAATTTGTTCTAAGCATAGCTGCAAGTTTTATAAATATTTTTTCCTATCTTGACATTACTCTACCTACAAAGATTCACAATGTCCTTGCTGGCACAATATTTGAATATATTCCAATAATGAATGAGAAGAGTTGGCTAATATTGTAAATATTTTTCTTGCTTGTAAGCAAAAAGCTAAACATACTTCTTTCATTCCAGTTTCTTTGCTCATCTCTCCGTGCTGTGTATGATCTTTAAAGGCAATGTATGCAGCTTTGATACTGCCGATAAAACTTAGAGAAAAAAGCAATGTATATCCAATGGTAATCTAACGTGATGCTACCTAACTTGGAAACATCAGTTTGCTTTTGTACAATGTAGTATTGCATCTGTATAAACTGCAGCAAAGTTCTAAATGTGTCAACTCACAAAGAATTATCTCTATTGCAGAAACTCACCTTTGAATGGCTTATGTGAATAATGTATGCTAGAGATTAATAATGATCCCAGTCTTTTCATTCCCCTTATGAGAAGATGAGAACATCTTCAGGTTCTCCCACTCATAAAAGGAGATGGTGTCAAAGCCGGATGATTTTTTCATTAAAAGAAACAAAAAAGTATCAGCTGTGCAGCGACATAACTTGCTCTCAAGCAGTCTTACAAAGACTCAATTCTAAAACTTACATAAAGAACAGCAATTTGTACAAGACCAATTAATGAAAAAAGGACAGAAACTGAAGTTAAATTGTCTCTGAACAAGCACACATCATCCCAAAACCAAGTCACAGAGACAGACTAAGCATGCCTGTTGCACCAACAAGTTACGATCCCATCAGCGTTGAGCTACAGCTCAGACGGGCTTTACTCTACTAAGAATTCGCTTTCATTTCAGCCAGTTCCAGCTGCAAGAAAAGTGTCTCAGTCTTTGAAAAGGAACCCCTATACGTACACTCTCGGCCACGGCTGCCTCCTCTTCCCCGTCTGTTGGAACTTCCCCGTCCACGACTCACTTCTCTGTCCCCTCGTTTTTCTCTGTTCTCTTTGTTTTCTGAACTTTCCTTTCCAAGGCTTTTCTTCTTTCCCCCTACAGTCTCCCAAGAAGTCTATTTGGGTAGAATAGAATTAGATACAAAAGTCAAAAAGGAACACAGAGCTCTCAATGCATACTTCCACCTCACACCCCTCCAGTTCATGGAAACAAAAAAACAACAGGTAATTGCATATGTAATACCTTGCAAACTACACTGATACAACTGGAAACATGGGCTGTATTTTTGGGAAGTGATGAGAAAGAAACAAGTTTTAGAAAAATCGGATTGTCTTATGGAATGTGAGAATCCCAAATACTTCTGGCTATAATGGATTTTTACCAGTTCAAGAAAGCCTAGATATGACCACAATGTAGAACATCTGCAAAGCAAGCAACAGTCTCCCTCCAAACTACCTCCATAAGTCTACCAAGGGAGCATGCAGTGAATTTCTCCCAGGGAAATGAAAAAATGTTTATAAGCATCATTGAGCAAGAGAGTGATGAGACTAAGTACATGGCCTAAGGGGAAAATAAAAGAAAAAAGAAAAAACATTATCCAGACGTACTAGAATTCAAGCATCAAGAGACAGAATGGCAGAACAACAACTTGGGAAAACTGGAGCCAGGATAAGCCAGACCATTCACTCTTAACAGCTACAGCTCTTCATGAAGAGCAAAATACAGGAAAAACTATGTCTAAACAAGACGAGGCACCAAGGTCCAAACATCAGTCTTCAGCTTTAGTATTAAACTCCATCTTTAAAATAAATTCAGGGATCATACCAGCTCCACAGGAGTATCTGTAGGAGTTGAAAATAAAATGACTAAACACTTGCTATGAAAAGCACAGCACCTCATATATTATACAACTGCACAGTTCGTCTATTGAGCCATAGTGGCAAAGCAAAGAAGAAAGGTATTATTTGCAAAACATTAAGGTGGCAGATGGGTTTATATATATGTACCCATCTCTAGGAGCTTGGAATCTAGGGAAGGTATTTAAGCTGGAAACGTGCATAGGCAAACGAGGTGCCATCAACAGTGAAGCACTAAAGCTTCTCCTCTGACAGGCACCTGCATTGAACAAAAAGGTTAGCTATCAGTACTTCCAGGTTCTGTTCTACCTCTTCTCAATTCAGGCAGCAGCAAGTCAGATGCCCTCATAAGGTAAGCAACAACCATCTAAGCCCAAGCTGCCTAAAACTGACAAAACTAATGCCCCTGAGAAAGCAGGTAGCAAGGCACTTTACAACTTACAGTTTCAGTGTCTCCTTTGAGAGAACAGGTACAAAGAGAATGGTTACTTTCTCTTGTTCTTGACAGGGTATTAGGTGAGAAAAAAGGCTGAAATCACATTTCAACTTCATCTCCAGTATAGAAGACTACACCGTCATAACCAATTTAGGTAAAGCACAGACAGCACGGATTAGAAGCACAAAACTACGCGTTCGAGCAACACAAGCTTATGTGTGCCACAGAAATCTGTTTCCTCCCGCAACTATCATACGGCTTCACGTGCCGTAGCCTGTGTAACTGCATTACACACTAAAACACTGCTAGAGCTTTAGAGACACTTCACAGGAGGAAAAATAACTGCACTGACAACTGCAAGAACCAAATCCATAGCTCAGAATGCACTACTGTTTCACTGGTGGGCATGGTGCCAAAAGATCTTTGACCATTTTAAGAAATAACCAAAACCGGATGATCCTGCAAAGCTTAAGAGGAAGAAGCCTCTCCTTAGTAACGTTTTACGTGGCTTGGGAAGGACCAGTAAAAGGACAACTATGAAAGCATCGCATCCATACTTTCCCACAATGTAAGTTCAAGGAAAGCCTTGAGAAGTTGGGCATGTCCTTCAAGATAGAAGACGGTGCTATCTCTGGGCATGGGAATCCATCAGAGACTATCAAAGATGCCTGCTTCTGTAAGGGAGCTAACTGATTACGATTTCAGTTGAGGATGCCTGAGGCAACCCAAATAACAGTTGTCAGCCTGACCTTCGAAAATAAGTGACAGAAGTCGCCTGTGCTAGCCTGATCTGAGACGGGAAGAAGAAGAATCTGAAAGATCCCTTTCATTCTAAATTCAGAGGTTTAGGAAGTAAAACATGGTCAGGCATAAAATGGATCCTATGCCTGTAGAAAGTTAAATGAATAGAAGTCTTGGGCAAAGAAAATGCCTTTCTCTACTCTCGTCCATAAGCCTCTATCTACCCAAAGCCAGACTGTCACAATTGTTTCAAGTGAAAAGTCTTCATAAAGACTAATAGTCACACAGCAAAAAGCCTTAAAGATCACAGCATCTAAAAAAAATAATAAAAGAAAGACAAAGCTGGCAGAGTACTAAAGAAATTATAAACAGACATTCTAGCTATCACTCCTTGCTCTTCTAATTCCTCAAATTGGATAGACACATCTTATTCCAAATGAGGTAAAACCAACTTCTAGTTCATCAAAGCAGAGTAAATCTAGAAAAAGAGATTTGGAAATCTGACTTCAGAACTACTAGCACCTTTGCTTCCAAGCTTACCTCAAATCCATGGTTAACTGTCCTGGAGTATAACGGCCTTAAAACAAACCCTTCAAGTTGGAGGCCCATGAACTTCCATAAAGAAGAAAAATTTCTTCATGCTCTGATGATGAGGACCCTTCAATTAATATTCCTTCCTCTTTGAGCCCTAAGTTCTCTGTATTTGTTTCTGAGTTGCATTTTGTCTACAGAGAGCAGTGAGTTCAGAGGGACTTGTCAAAAGAGCAGAACATGCGGATATGTTGCTTCCAATTGATAAATGAGCTCAGAAAGTTTCTTCTATGCCACAATAACAATTTGCTAAAGTAAGAAAGCATTTAAGATTCTCTATCAACCAGAACACTATTTGCAACTAAAAAATTGCAAATACGAGAAGTATGAGAGAATACAAAAACAGCACCTTACCAAGACAGATTTAATCAAAGTAAGACACCCTCCTCCACTCCAAACTTGTCCACTCACTCAGTATTATATACTGTGTTTCAGATGACCTTAACTCTTACAAATGAAAAGGATGGATGTCATGGTTTGATGTGGAGGGGGGTTGGTTCTGGTGGCAGGAGAGGGGTTTTGGTCCCTGTGACCTCCCCGGTTTTGGAACCGGGTTAGGCTGAGTTCCGGCCACCAGATCAGACTGCCATCCCCCTCGGGGTTGAGCCAATAGGGCGCCTCTGCGAATTGCCCTATTTAAGTCAGGACAAGGGAACCGGAAAAGGTGCTTTGCCCAGGATCGACCAGAGAAGGGAGGAGGGCACTGCCCCCGCTCCCTGGCTCCCTGCTGGGCAGCTGCCTGCGTTGGGCCGGCGCCGCCCACGGAGAATGGCGGCGGCGGAGCCAGCTGGGGAACTCGGGGGCACCCCACTCCCGGGGTGCCAACTGGGCTGAGTTCACCTGGAGA